TTTTAAGGCATAACCCAGGTTTTGTTTTGGTGTTCTTTTGTACCACATTATTTCTTTTTTTGATCAACAGTCCTTCAAATGAAGAGCAAAATTTACTTTAAATTGTGGATTCTTCCATTTACCTTGACCTTTCTCAGTTGGAGGTACTTGAAAGAAGTGGCTAACAAGCATTGAGTGAGAAGAAAGAAAAGAAAAATCTTGAATAATCCATTAATTTAAGAATCAATCCTTGAATATTTCAGGAGTGAACTATACTTAGCCTTATGACTTCTTTTTAACATCTTTATTGGAGTATACTTGCTTTCCTTATGACATTTTAAATGCTCTAGTTATAATATTTTAAATGGAAAATAACTCTATTTTCTATCATACCAAATTAGCATGCATAATATTTAATGCTGTTTGTTTATTTTGGAACATGCTTCTATGTTTTGCAAAGGAATAATTTTACATTTGTTTTCCATCTTAAGTCTTCTAGTTTCTACTCTACCGTTACTCTTGTGCATCTAATGTTAATATTTGATGATTATATTTCCATAAGACTCTTCAAATTTTGAGCATGATCGATTGATTGCTTTTGGTTCAGTATAAAGGATGAAGGTGGGATAATAGTCTTTTTGAATAACTCAGGGCTAGTACTGTGTTTTTGTGAGTTTTGTGCCTCATAGTGCTTTCCATTTTACCTAGTGCAGTGGTTCTTAACCAGGGACAACTGTGGCCCCAGGGGACACTTGGTAATGTCTGGAGACATTTTCGATTGTCATGTGCCTAGGTTGAATGCTATTAGCGTCTAGTGGGTAGAGGTCAGGAATGCTCTTAAACATCCTATAGTGCATTGAACAATGCCAACAACAAAGAATTATCTGATTCCAAATGTCAATAGTGCCAAGATTGAGAACCCCTCATGTATGGCAGTTGCATGATAAAGTATATTGAATTTAAAACTATGTCCATTCTATAAAGCATAAGGCTTTACATATTATTTTTTATGTGCATTCACATACCAATTTGATGATTCACAAGGGAGAATTTAGCTCTTTGCTTCAAATTCATTCTTTGCTCAAAGTATTAAAACAAAATTTTGGCAATTATAATTGATTTTAAGTTAGTTGTACTCAGTTGAAATAGTATAATATTGGTAATCAATGTTAATCAGTAGTAATATTCAACATTTTTAATTTGTACTTCCTTTCTTCCTCGAGGTTTTTAACTTCTTGGAATCAATATTGTATATTATTCTTACAGTATTTCCACTTGGATCTGACATAATCAATTCTCTGGAAAAGTTAATTATCCAGATGTCTAAGTCAGTAATTAATCTGGATAAATCCCTATTTTATATTCTTCTTAATCTCATCTTTAGAGTTTTAAGTCTGAGATACTAAAAAGAATTTGCTGAACCCCAATACTAGCAAAGCGGGCCTTCAACTTCATGCAACAAAGAAGAGGAGGTCCCACAATTCCAGTGAGGTAGAAGCTAAATTATAACAGAGTTGTTTGCTATATATGCATCATTCCCAATCCTACTTTAAAATTACTACCTCTTACCTCTGTTGACCTGATTTAATCTGGACAAGACTTTTTTAAAGGAGATAGATTCTTAACAGTTTTTAAACAGGAGATGGATCCTTGATGACAGTTTTTGGGGGTGGGAATTGAGGGGTGGGAAGAGTTAGGGGGTGACTTATAAGGGAAGAGTATTGCAAAGCACTAAAGTGCTTTATGATCACACAAAAACTATGTGGCCACTTGTTGGATTTTCTTCTTAAATAGTCATGAATGCCACCATTAGCTGGAGGATTAATAGATGGTAATATCTGATGCTCCTCACTTCAGTATAGTGCTTGTCAGAAGGAAAACCCATAGCTAAAATAATTGCAGTTGCTGTTCTTTCCTTTTTATTCATGTTTACTTGAACATGACCTACTGAATTCGTAATCTAAGAAGTTTGGCTGATGTGACATACTTGAGAGGCTTTAAGGATTTGTAACATTTGTGTCTTCATATCTGTAGCAACTAGAAGCAAATTCTAGATAGGTTTAACTGCCAAAGAGTTTGGAATTTGGAAATGTGATTTTGATAGGATCTTTGAATTTTGGCATAAAATGTTGCTTGGAGCGATCCCTTAGCAATGGCAGTAATCTGATCAGTCAGAAATAGCCTGTGCTTTAACAAACAGGAGGCTGCCAGCATGTGAAGTTAGTGTCTAATAGATTAGGTGAGGTTGAGGAGAAAATAGAGAGATGGTGTTATAATAACCAGAAACTTTGTAGTAGTGTCAGAGAGGTGTTTAACATGAGGGTTTCAGTGTGATGGATCTGCCATACTTTTCTGTTTAAGAGAGAGAAAAATCAGAAAACTTGCCAACTCCTAACCTCCCTCTTCTGTGGTTTTTCACTTGTACCGGTTTTCAACCTGGCAACACATTGGAATTGCTGGAAGAGTTTTTAAAAATTACTAATGCATGGGCTCCACTCCTAGCAACCCCAGTATAATTGAAGCCTGGGCATTGGTATTTTAAAAAGAGCTCCACAGATGAATCAAACATGCAAGCAGGGTTGAGCACCACTGCTTTATAGCAGTGCATCAGAATTGTCTGGAGAGCTATTTATTAGGTCTGGCTGAGGCCTGAGAATTTATTTTCATTTCTAACAAGTTCCCAGGTGATGCTGATATTGCTGGTAAGGCGATCCCATTTTGAGAACCACCAAGAAGGCTATTTTAAAAAATCATTTGGGTGTAACTGATCTTTTTCTTTTTTTAAACATTGCTAGTGCTATATTATTGGGTTAAAAATTAAGATTAAAGAGGGCTTCCCTGGTGGCGCAGTGGTTGAGAGTCCGCCTGCCGATGCAGGGGACATGGGTTCGTGCCCCGGTCCGGGAAGATCCCACATGCCGCGGAGCGTCTGGGCCCGTGAGCGATGGCCGCTGAGCCTGCGCGTCCGGAGCCTGTGCTCTGCAACGGGAGAGGCCACAACAGTGAGAGGCCCGCGTACCCAAAAAAAAAAAAAAAATTAAGATCAAAGAAAAGTATTATGCATATGATTCTTTTTATGTAAAAAAGATAGGTGTATCTATATGCTTTGAATTTTTTTTTCAAATAGCATTTTTAATTTTTAAAAAAATTTGAAAAATAATAGATACATGTATATGTATAACTGAATCACTTTGCTGTACACCTGAACTAACACATTGTTAATCAACTACAAAATAAAATTAAAAGTTAAAAAAATAAAAGAAGAATGAAATAATGCCATTTGCAGCAACATGGATGGGACCTAGAGATGATCATATAAGTGAAGTAAGTCAGACAGAGAAAGACAAATACTCTATGACATCACTTATATGTGGATTCTAAAAAAACAGTACAGGGACTTCCCATCGGTCCAGTGGTTAAGACTTCGCCTTCCAAAGCAAGAGGTGTGGGTTTGATCCCTGGTTGGGGAGCTAAGATCCCACATGCCTCACAGCCAAAAAACCAAAACATAAAGCAGAAGAAAAACTGTAACAAATTCAATAAAGACTTTAAAAATGGTCCACATCAAAAAACATCTTAGGGCTTCCCTGGTGGTGCAGTGGTTGAGAGTCTGCCTGCCGATGCAGGGGACGCGGGTTCGTGACCCTGTCCGGGAGGATCCCACATGCCGCGGAGCGGCTGGGCCCGTGAGCCATGGCTGCTGAGCCTGCGCGTCCGGAGCCTGTGCCCCGCAACGGGAGAGGCCACAGGAAAAATTGATAAACTGGACTCTATGAAAATTTAGAACTTTAGCCCAGTTAAGAGAATAAAAGGACAGACTACGGCCAGGGATAAAATATTTGCAAATCATATATCCAACAAATGATTAGTATATAGACTATATAAGAAACTCTTAAAATCTCAACAGTAAAAAAAAAAAAAAGAAAAAAACTTAAAAAAAAAAGTAGTACAAATGAACTTATTTACAAAACAGAAACAGACTCACAGACATAGAAAACAAACTTACGGTTATCAAAGGGGAAGGGAGAGGGGAGAGATAAATTGGGAGTATGGGATTAATAGATGCACACTACTATATATAAAATAGGTAAATAACAAGGATTTACTGTATAGCACAGGAAACTATATTCAATATCTTGTAATAACCTAAAATGGAAAAAAATCGAAAAAAAGAATATAGATATATACATATGTATATATGTATAACCGAATCAGTTTGCTGTACACCTGAAACTAACAATAAAAAAAGCCACATCAAAACTTTGTTTAGTGCTTCATAGTTTAAAAAGCTAATGAATTTACAATTTCTAGTAGACTTTTTGAACTATTTAAAATAATTTGTGCTTTTTTCCTTTTTTTTTTAAGCCCCATTATATGAGGATCCTTCACATTTCAGATCTTTTATTTTATATAGTCTTTTAGGTATCTTAATCGATGTAGCCCAGATAAAAGATTTGTCATTGTTCAACAGAAATTTCAAAAATTTATAATTTGCAGAGTTTATTTGATATGGGAGAAATATTTTCTTTTTTCTCACCTTAAGTATACTGGGGAAACACAGAACCATATACTGAGAAAAATGGGGGTAAGTGGGAACAGAGACGGAGAAATAGTGCTTATAGGTTGGGGCAGTGTTAGAGGAAATGGAACCTTCCAGGTTTGGAAAGAGATCAGCAAGAGGAGGAGGTGGCCGGTGATTTCCAAGAATGCAGGAATCAAGGGGATGGATATGAAAGAGCTACTGGATTGAGAAGCTTGGTCAAAGTCATAGAGCTATTAAATGGCAGAGTCTGCTGTCAAATTTGGGTCTCTAAGACCCGGGTTTTTTCTCTTTTCTGGAAAAGAATTAGGTATAGGGAAAAAAATAGTTCTAATGAGCCAACTCTGCAACAAATGCAGCAAATGATATTTTTGTGACAACTTTGAATCTAGATGGTAGTGGCTTTTTTGTAGCTATATTTGGATATTAAGAAGGTGTAGTCCTGAAATGACAGCTTCCAATGTGACTTTCTGTTTTTCAGAAACCATCCTCAGCCTTTGATCACTGTGCTTGAACACAGACCTGATTGCTGGCCAGTACTTTTGCAACAGCTGACAACTTTTTTCCAGCAATGCCCTGAAAGGTAATGTAAAATAAAATAAATGAGGGAGATGTATAGTATATGCTAATTTTAGAGTTTTTCTTTTAAGCTGCTTTGACTGTAATGTTTTCTCCTGAAGTAAGGACATGTCTTAGAGCAGGATATAGTTTTCTATTTTCTTTTTAAGAGAAAAAAATCCTACCAGATTTACTGATTGTTGAAATATTGACTATGAGAAAAGCTATTATTAAATAAGCTAAGCATTGGTTAGTTGGGAAAGTTGATTGGAAATATTTGGTAAACTACTACATGGTACATATGGAAGACAGGTTCTTCCCTCTGGAAATTGATTAGTGAGTTAATCTCTCCATTAGAAACCAGTGCCAGTTGGGATTAAGCAGTCCTGCCAAATGGGACCAGATAGCTGCCATATGTGCAGTTAGTTTAGCTTCACCAAGGCCTTCTGCCTTCTGATGCTCCTCAAAGCTTTCTCACATCCTTGTTACTATGGCATTGGCTCAGGCAGTCATCTCTTCCTGTGGCTATTGCCACCTATTCCTAACTGGCATCTCTGCCTCCGATCTCATCCTGTTTGAGGCCATTCTCTAAGCATCCATCAGGGTGATGCATCAAGAGAGCAGATCTTATTGCATCCCTCCCTTTCTTAAGTTGCTGCAGCTGTGATTTTCAAACTGCACTTGCAATGTATAGGCTAAGCATGGAAACACCCTTGCACCCCGTCAGCTCTTTTTCTTATAGACTGTTTTTTTACGTGTTGATATCTTTTGGAAGCTTTCTATTGGAAAACAATAGTTTGGTCTCTGAAATAGTTGGAAAATCCCTGGGCTACAGGATGAAATCTATTATGTCATGCTAGGCTCTGTGTATGTTCTGTTTCACCAATTTTATTTTCTCCTATCTTTATCTCATAATTTATGAATTATGTATTTCAGCAGTACACCAACTTGCTTTGGTTCCACACAGGAAACAGTGCTGTTTCCTCACCTCTGTGCTTTTTCTGACTAATACCCTAGCCCTTTCTTGATTAATTTCTCTATTTTAAATCTCTCTTTAGGGACTTGCCTGGTGGTCCAGAGGGTAAGACTCTGTGCTTCCACTGCAAGGGGCACGGGTTTGATTCCTGGTCGGGGAATTAAGATCCCACATGCTGTGTGGTGTGGCCAAAAAACTAAAAAAAAATAAAAAAGATCTCTGTTTAGGTATTGTCTCTCCTAGGAAGTGTGTACTTACCACAGGCTGAATTAGGTATCTCTTTTACATGCTCCCTTAGTAACTTCAGTTGTGATTTCTAACATCATTATACTTACTGTATGGCCTTATAATTATTCTCTTCCTTTAACTGTGAAACCCTCTTACTTTCTTGAGGGCAGGGACTGTGTCTCAATATTCTTCATATTAATAATGCCTGGCACATTTTTGGGTGCTTTATAAATGTTGAATTTATATATGTATACACATGAGGCCCACAGATTGGTGGGGCCCAGGCAGTGGGTTGTAGAGGGCCTCCTAAAATATAATATCACTGCATACTTAGTATGTCACACAAGGTCATGATGGGATGGTACCATTGTCCCACGTAATCCAATGCCTGAGTTACATTTACCACACTAGCCACGTTCATGTGTTCTTGCTCTTGAAGGTCTTAGAGTGTCCTATACATACAATGTATTAGAACATTGTTTCTGAGTCTATAACTTCAATTTTAGACGGAATTTCCAGGCAGGATGTACTGCCACAGGAAGTTTTAAAAAGATATAGGGAAACTTGTAATCATCTGCCAGTGATAAAAGTCCATGTAACAATTGAATGAATACCTTAAAATAAACATTATTATCATCCTCTCTTCCCTCACCTAGGACTGCATTTCTGAAGGTAAGATATTAATATTTACTAAAAAAGTCTTTGTTCATCCATGTCAGAAAGCAAAAATAACAAATTTATAAACGTTTGTTTCATGAAGTTTCTCTTGTTAAATAGATTGGGATACTTTATAAAAGATGTTGCTGGGCTTTCCTGGTGGCACAGTGGTTGGGAGTCCGCCTGCCGATGCAGGGGACGCGGGTTCGTGCCCCAGTCCGGGAGGATCCCACATGCTGCGGAGCGGCTGGGCCCGTGAGCCATGGCCTCTGAGCCTGTGCGTCCGGAGCCTGTGCTCCGCAGCAAAAGAAGATGTTGTTGCTGATGTGCCATATTTCTTGTTAGCTTGTTTTTAGGGTAATCCTTACAAATATCTCTCTTTTCCAATGGTTTAGTTAGTCAGCAAGTAATTAACTGACTTTTTGGTTGTTTCATTTCAAAGGATTATTATATTGGAATTTGAAAGTGGTTCTTCTAATGATATATGTCCAGATAGTCATAAGGAGAAGAGATTATTAATTGAGTTGGTTTACTTATGGATAAGCTTTCATTGACTTATTCCTTTCATTTGAATTCTGGAGTGTTAGAGTATACTATCTAGAGCTTTATAGGAGTTTTAAATTATTTTATATTTATTTGCAAAGAATAATTACAGTTGTCTCATTTCTACTTTTGCACTGAGACTGTTCTTTGCAGGATGAAATTGATCACTCTGCTTGCATTTTCAGCAGACTGTTAGTTTCTTGAGATTTAATTTTAGAGTAAGTTAACTTAGTAGTTTTTACATTGTCATTTAGAAGGTAATGAAGGAAGTTTGGTAATTTAATAAGAATATAAATAGTGATTCACAACTATAGGAAGGAGGCAAAATGTTGTGACAGTAGCTTGTATTCTAGCTCTTTCTGTGTTAGGAATTGTTGATTAGAGTAGCTGGGTTCACTTTTCTTTTTTTTTGGAAAAGTCTACATGCTGTATAATTCCATTTATATAACATTCTGGAAAATGTAAAACTATAGAGTGGCAAACAAATTAGTACTTTCTAGGGGTTTGTTGGGGGGAGGGAGGTAGGGTTAAAAAGGTGAAGTATAGAGGATTTTTAAGACAGTAAAAGTATTTCATATGACTTTGTAATGGTGGATATATGACCCTATGCATTTATCAATACCCATAGAATTTTACAGCACAAAAAGTGAACTTTAATGTATGCAAATATGTGTGTGTGTGTGTGTGTGTGTGTGTATGTATGTATGTATATATATATATATCCCAGAAATGGAATGAAAGATCCCAGGAATGAAAAAAGGATGAGCTATCAAGTCACACAAAGAATATAGCTGTATTACAAACTGTATTACAAATGTGGGAAAAAACCTCGCTGGAGGTGGTAGAGTAGAAAGGTGCTAGCCTAAATGTATGGGTTCACTTTTAATAGAATGTATCAACAGATGTCCTGAAATAGCAGTGTATCTTCATGCTACATTTTTGGGGGCATGATTCTCCAGTTAAATTCTGCACTGATTTTTAGAAGGCCTGTGGTGTTAAGACTTCACCATTATAGAACCGAGAATTGGGTAAATTGACAATGGTGTCAAGGTCTTTAGGGCTGGATACTTCAAGATTGTCTAGTCTAACACATAGTTTTTCAGATGAGGGAACTAAGGAGAGCAACGTTAAATGACTTGCTCAAGGTCACATGGCTAGTGGCAGAGTTGGGCCCAAAGGCTCAGTGTTTTGATTTTCATTACAAGTCTTCTCCCACTGCTTCTCCATCCTTGGTGAACATACATGAAAGCCTTGTGTGTAGATACATGCACAGTTGGTTGCATTTTTCAACATTCTTAATCACTTTGGGATTTCAGGTTATCTGTTTTATTATTTCCCTTTTCTCCTTAAGCCCTGTTAATTGCATACCCCACTGCGGTGATAGTAGATCATCAGATACCACATAGGAAATGCAAAATCTAAAATCAGGACAGATTAAGCCACAGAGATTTTTAAAAAGTGTATTGTCCTAGGAAAGCGCAACATTATGCTCCTGATGTCAAATATTAACAGCATCTTGGAAATATATTTCTTTGTATGAACCTTGCATTTCACTTTCAGCATTTCAAAGTGGGAGAAAACTGATAAGCTATTCACGGATGTTTTTGACACCTGGCTAGTATTTATTCTTTGGGGAGTACATTATTAGCGAGAGATGGAAGAATAATGTTTCTTAAATCTCTTTTCTGCTCCATATTCTAACCCATACATACATTGTCTACTTGCTTAATCTATGAAACTTTTTTTAGTTTCCTAAAGCGGGTGGTGTAATGAAGCCATATGTTTCATAATTATGAACTCACAAGTCTTTTTGTTTTTTATGGATTGTGTGTTTGTGCTCATGAAAAAAAGAATAATCCCTCCAGATTGTGAGCATGGATTTCATCAGAGCATGGATTTCATCTGTTTTTGTTTCTTGCTTGGTTTCTAGCACATAGAAGAGTGAATGGTATACTGTAGGAACTCAGAAATTTTGTCAAGCAAATAAATGAATAGATTAAATCTTATCAATTTGGTAACTTTTTAATTTTTATTAATGTTAATGGTGTTTTGAAATCACATTGCTGTGGGATGTATAGTATTATAAAATTATGTTGTCAGGCATAACTCAAATGCCATTTCCTCCAATAAGTATTGCACTTTATACCTTTCTTTTAGCAGTTGTCACTTTCTATTCTCTAGTCCAGAAACAGAGCTGATTGTCCCTGTTAGACTATATGCTTCTTAAGGATAGATAATGCCTGGTTCATCTTTGTATCTTATCTAGTAATAATTTATATATAATCAATATGAAAAATATTAAAATTGTGATACTTAATCGATGCATGCTAATTGGAAATCCACTCTATAACTTAGTGTAAACGAATCAATTAATTTAATGATTGAGCATCTCTTTGAGGGCCTAGTGTGTACAGTTATTTGGGATACAGCATTAAACAGAAATCCATGGTTCATGCCCTCATTGGCTTATAGTCTGTCAGGGGATGGAGATATTAAATAAATAATGACAATAAAGTCATTATCCTGTGCAAGCACATAATGGGGATCTGACCAAGGCTAGGTATCAGGGAAGGCCCTCAGGAAGTCATTTTAAAGGGAGAACTGAAAGATGATAGAAATTAGGCAGAGGATGATAGAAATTAGGGAGAAAGGGGAGAGTATTATAGGTAGATGGAACAGCAGGTGAGAAGAAAGCCCAGATGGCTTGGTAAGAGATCTGAAAGAAGTTTAGTGTAGTTCAGTGGAGAGTGGAGAAAAGCAAAAAATGAGACTGGAAAGAGGCCAAATTATGAAGGGTTTGTGAATTGGGCTAAGTACTTTATCTTAAGCATAAGTTTTTTCAAGCTGATTAATGACATGATCAGATTTTTATATCTGAAAGGTCATTCTGGCATTTTAGTGTCTTTGGACTTGGAGTTATTGGGATGTATTGTAATCTAAATAGATCCGAAACATTTGTAAAATCTTCCTCCTCTGAGTGGGAAGAACTTAAGAGGAGGGACTTGACAAATTACTCTGCCTCAGTTTCTGTATCTGCATAATGGGATGATAATATTTTTATTTCATAGGGTTGTGGTGAGGATTGATTGAGTTTAAAGACATAAAGTGCAGTAACTTGCACACTCTGAGTGCTAACAAGTTGATAAGTAAATGTTAACTGTTATCATCACCTTCTTGGGATGTCTGTATGTCTTTGTTTTACATAGGACCTTACCTGTCGAGTTTTTCCAAAAATGCATGCATACTCCTGGAAAAATGGATCCTAAAGTCTGTAATTCTAAAAAGGTTCTCAGATGATTCTGATGTTCACCAAAGACTGGTCCTGGAGATGTAGATGCTATTCTAGTGTGCAAATAGAGGCCCTCTTAGTCCTGGGCACCAGGCTTGTGGGCTCCAGGTGTTGAGTCATTCTCCCCACTGTACAAAGAACTGTTTGGCATGGGTTTAGGTGGGTCATGGTGGAATAGAAGAGTCATGAAAAAAAGATACACTCAATGGTATCATAGTTTATGATATGTCATGAACTCTAAGTTGATGTTTGACACTTAACTTGCATGGTACTCTGTTTAACTCAGTTACTGGCTTATGCATTCCATGACTTACTTGCAGGTCAGAAGTTTCATGTATCCAAATAATGGCACCGTTTCTATGGTATCTGTATTGTGAACCATCCCAGTTACAAGAATATGCTAAACTCCGACTAGCTCTGCTCAAAGTCTTACTTCACCCCCGGGTTCTTTGTGACAAAGAACAGCCATCAATATTGGAACAACAGATGCTACAACTGTGTTGCGACATGGTTCCATGTTTGCAGGTAAGGCCTTTCCTCCTCCTTCACTAATATAGCACCAGCATTAGTAAGTGGTGATTGTTATTTTTGTACATAAAATAGAGCCCATGTGATCTGGCAAACAGCTCTAGAAATGCTTGCAGGGTTTTGGAGATGCTGAAGGAAACAAATCTAGATTTCACTTTAATATATACAATGTTAACTAAATTCACAGAAATATAAACCAACATAGTCCATTTTAGGATTAGTAGGAATGAAATCTATAAGAAAGACTTCTCAGGGAAAATAATTTTGCATTGAGGTTTTCCTTGTGCTGGAGACTGAGAGGGTTATAAGGAAAAAAAATGTCCTTTTTGTGTAAGTTTGGAAAAAAGGCATCTCTCTGGCCAGATGTAGCCCTAGGGACGCAGGGCTTGACCAGCTGAGTGCTGGCTAGATTCCAGTTTTCACAAGTCCCCTTACAGTATATGTGGTGACGCTGATAGATCCTGCTCTTGGGAAGACCACAGTCTAGTAAGAGAGCTAAAACAAGTATATATATTTGTATAATTCAAAGTAGATGGATGAAGTATTTTATCCGTACAGAGGTTTGGATAAAACGCTTAGGGAATTCAGGGGAGAGGTAAATTTGAGCTGTCTCTATAACTACAGATTTAAAAAAAATTCCAGTTGCCAGCTTGTTGTGATTTGGGTGTAGTGATTCATTTATCCCATCCCACCATCTAGGTTTGTTGTTTGCCTAGAATCTGAACACCATGCTGCTTAGCTGATGGAGGGAATCTGTGATTATTTTTCAAGGTGATCACTTGAGGTCACAGATGACCTGTTTTAAGTTTGTGTTAACAAGGAGTCACTAGAGTGGCTCTTTTACGGCTCATAAATAGGCTTTCCTGTAATCAAGGCAGAGAAAAGTTAATTCAAGTGAATTCTCCTGTGGCTTTTCCAAAGCTTTTGTTTTGTGTGGGCAATAAAGCAACGTATAGGCGGATGTCTTGAACTAGCGTACAGTTTTTCCATATGATGCTTGCATTACCCTGTTCTGTGCTCTTTGGTAGATGTTTGCCTTCATCGTCATCAACCTATATTGACAAGCCTAAATACTTCTATAAGTGTGCTCTGTGCAATATTTCTGGAAATCTGTGGTTTGTTAATATAGTCAAGATAGGTGAGGAAAAAAGAGATCCGTCATTTGGAACTAATGGGACTAGTGACATAAATACATTGAATAACTTAACAAATCAGCTTTATTGGAATGAAGAATTTGAGAGTTGGGAGGGGTCTTAGGCAGTGTCATCCATTTTCCCACGGGTTATAGGCACTTCTTTTCCTCTCTGAGAGACAACCATCCCACGACTAATTAAATATTTTAGTGATAGGAAGCATGCTATTTTGCAAGGCAACCATTTATTATTTTTTTTTTAGCAAGTACTTCTAATTGACCTGCATTTTCCTAAGATTACCCATTAGTCCCCCTTCTTCTCAGAACAAAGCAAAATAAGCTTTTTAAAAAGCCCATCTGCATCCTATCTTGCGTTGTTTCTCTCTTCCTTCCTTTTCTTCCCTTTCATCCTTTACTCCCTCCCTCCCTCCTTTCTTTTCTTCATCAGTTTCTTTACTTCTCCACATGAAATGGTTTTGACTTTTCACTGTTATTTGCAAGGAATTCTCTAGTTTATTGGTGTTGAGAATGTGTCACTATGAAATGTTCTTCTTAGAGCTGAATACGGTAGTATAGATGTGGTCTGATCCATACTGAGCATTTCAATACCATCATGTTAATTAAAAATTTTTTTCCTGAGAAATAGCTGTCCACCCTGTTGACCCATAGGTCAATGAGATGATGGTCAGTGAAACTCCTGTTTCTTTTTCTTCTCGCTCCAATGTTCTTCCATTTTGTATTTATGGAATTGTCTTTTTTTGGACTTACCCTGCTTTGAACTTCACTGTTGACTTTGGTCCCAGTAGTTCTTTTTAATTGTGACTTTTGTCATCTCACATATTATTCATTGCGCATGTTCTATTTCTACATAAAGAGAAACCATTACTTACAAAGTATTCTTGTTAAGAATTTTGGTAATGTGAAAGATTAGAGAGCCTTTAATGCTAAGTTGCTGAGGTTGTCTTTCAAAAATTTTTTTTATTACGGAAATTTTCAAGTATGTACAAAAAAATGCACTCGAGGAAATATATTGTCAAATAAACATGGGGCTTTACTCTGTTTTAAATTCCTTTCTTGGTGGCCTTTTGCCTTTGCCATTGTATATTTGCAAAAGAATGAAATAATTTAGCTACTGAACTGTTCACATTTATTTCTTATAACTTAAGTATTCTCTGCTGTCTCCTCCCCTTGATCTTTTAATAGTTTTTTTTCTTCTTGTTTGTTCGGAATTAACTTCTCTCTCTGTGTATAACTTATAGTCATTTTGGGTTATTATGGTGGTAACGACTGGTGAAAGGTACAGCTGGTTAACTGTAGGCTTTCCTCTTGATGAATTTAACAGACACAAGGCTCCTGATTGAAGCAGATGGTTCATTGTTTGTAATCTCTGGGAAATGCCAGTGTGTCTGTGAGCAGGACCATATCCTTAATACTAACTCCAGAATTTTGATCAGAACAGCTGGGTTTGAATTGAATTGGGATTTTCAAGAGCACCCAAGTCCTTCCTATCTAATACATTAGCCAGCTGAGAAGACACTACCATTTGAATGTCGTCTTTCAGTGCATCTGCCAAGTGTGGAAATGATGCTCTCAGTTAAGGTTGTCTGAGCAAATTTCGTTCAGATGAAGGGCTTAGCAGTGCATTAGAATAACACGCCAACCCTTTTCTTCCAGGTAGCTATGTTGAAATTATAGAAAGGAGAGTCCATTTGGAGAACTCAGAACCAACTTTAATTAATTTCCTTCAACATGTTGGTACTGTCATGTAATTTGTCTTTAAAAATCTGCACTCAGAGTAGTTAGAAGAATAAATGAAAAGAATTTGTGCCAGCCAGCAGTAACAAAAACAGTAGCAAATTGTGTTTTGGTTAGTGACAAAAGGAGAAAGCAGAGTTGTATGGTTTAACTCTCTCTGAGTTACATAAATTTCTTCATCCCTTTTAAGTCTTTATAGGTTTAGAGGAAAAAAATTTTATTGGTAAAGCTTCTTATATACGCTAAAATTATCCTTTGGTTTGTGTATTATTTTAATATCACAAGGTTTTTTCTCAAACAGATGAGAGATTTGATACAGACAACAGAAGTGATGCTGTTTATCGAAGAAGTATATTTAAGCCTTCTGCGTCATCCTGTTTTCTGGAAAATTCAGCTTATCCAGATGACCCTTCAGCTGCTGTGTGTCTGTGAAGTCAGCTTAAACATAACTGGGGAATGCTCATCTTTAATTCACCTTTTAGAGCACAGTGTTGAACTTCTGAAGGAGGTAAGGATAGTAAGAAGTTTTAATGTCAGTTATCACTTAAGTAGGTCTTTTAGTAGCAGGGTGGGTGTGCTCTCTTACTTTCTTGCATATCAAAGGTGTTTTGATCTAATACTATTAGATCATACTAGTAATGCATCAATAGTACCACTATCATTTATTATAAAAATGAGTCATTAAATACTCTTTGGAGCATCAGTTAAGGGTCTACCGCTGTGGTATTTTTTTCATTTATTCATGTAGAACACAAGTATTGACCACTTATATGCAACACCCTATAGAAGAATTCAGCTGACCCTTGAACAACTTAGGAATTAGGGGTGCCAATCCTCCACTCAGTGGAAAATACACATATAACTTTACAGTCGGCTCTCCCTATCTGGAGTTCTGCATCCGTTGAGTCAACCAACCGCTCATTGTGTAGTACTGTAGTACATATCTATCGACAAAAATCCATGTACAAGTGGACCTGTGCAGTTCAAACCCATGTGTTATTCAAGGGCCACTTGTACTTAGATGAAAAAGCCATTCTGTGACCTCAAGGGGCTTACAAACATGCAAATAAATAATAGTAGTACAATAAGGTAAATTGCTTGTATGGGGGTATATTTAAAGTACAGTGGGAGCACAACTTAAGGGAGGTAGGGCATGAGTTCAGATTTGAGGAAGTCTGAGTAGGAGTTTGCTTGGTACAAACCAGAGGCTGGGAAGGCATTCCAGCAGCTGGAACAGCATGTGCCCCAGCACAGAAACATGAGTGAGCAGGCAGGCATGGCTTGTTCAGAAAAAAAGTGTTGAGTGTTGCCAAAGGATTAAGGTGTAAGAGATAAGGCTGGGCCTATCATGAAGGGTCTTCCATACCACACAAATGAGCTTACATCTTATCTTCTAGGCAGTGGCATGCTATGGAAGACCTTTCAGCAAAGAGGTGCCCTCATATTTTTGTGTGTGGAAGATCATTCTGGTGGGAGAGTGGAGGAGGGTTTAGAGCAGAGCGACACTATTAGGGCAGGAAGTGAGGAGGGATGTCTTAGATTGCTAGGGCTGCCTTAACAAAATATCACAGACTGAGTGGCTTAAACAACAGAAGTTTATTTCTCACAGTTCTGAAGACTAGGAAGTCCAAGATGAGGGTGCTGGCCAATTTGATTCCTAGTAAGGGCTCTCTCTCTTCCTGGCTTGAAGAAGGCTGCTCTCTCACTGTGTCGTCACAAAGCGGAGAGAGAGCAAGGATGAGGTCTCTATTGTTTCTTCTTATAAGAACACTAATCCTTTTGTTTTAAGGCCCCACCCTTATGATCTCATTTAACTAATTACTTCTTTACCCCAAATACAGTCAGTTGGCACTTAGGGCTTCAACGTATGTATTTTGGTAGGGGGGGATCTCAGTCCATGGCAGGGGCTAATTAGGGAAATTTGAACAGGAAAAGAGAAATATAGGACATTAAATCATTAGGGCTTTGTGGTTGATTACATGGTCAAGGAGAAGGTCCTTGGTAGAGTCTCAGCTTTCTATTTTGGGCAACTGGATGGTGCCGTTCACTTGAGAAATGGTAGCCGATGCTGAAGGGAAGATGATAAATTTAGTTTTAGATATGCTTGGTTTGAGGTATGCATGGGTCATAGATGGATATATGGTTTTAGAATTCAGGATAGAAGCCTAGGCTAAAGGTATAGACTTGTAAATAGATTTCTACTTTGGGGTGGAAGTTTTAACTGTGGACTTCATGACAGGGCTTGGGATAGAATTCCAGGGGCTGTAAATATTTGGAGTGTACTGATGAAGAGAAGTCTGAGAAAGTACAGCTAGAAGGATTGTATAACAAGCAGAAGAGACAGATGACCATTCCCCTTTTTGAGATACTCCGTCCCATGTCATCTGTCTCATACATGAAAATCAAGGGAAGGAATATCTCAAAAAGGGGAATGGTCAACAGTGTCCTGGGGAGAGGATTTACGTACGGGATAGAAAGTCCCCTTAGGATCCAGCAAGTAGAAATTTATTGTTCATATTAAAGAAAGCAGTTTCAGCAGAGTGATGGTGATAGGAACCAAATTGGAATAAGGGAGTGAATGGTAACTGAGGAAACAGAGAAAGTGAATGTAGATTTTGGTAGGAGGTGGGAGCCGAGGAAGGCTCAAGTAATCTTTTGTCAGTTTTGTGACTAGCATGGTTTCATGGATGCTGGGACTTTATATATAATATTATATAATGATATATTTGTGTTATATTAATATTGTATGTATTATCTAGTATAATAGTAATATATACAGTAATATTAAAAATATATACATATTATCTATTAGATATAATAGTAATATATAGTAACACATAATATATGGTAATATATATGTTATAAATTATATAATTAATATAATCAAATAATAATGTTCCTATTCAGATGTTTATTTATATCAATTATATATAGTTATACGTATTAGATATAGCTCTAATAGATAATATATTGATATATATTATTATACTAATAATACAAAAATATATAGAAAATATGGATATGTAATATTTATAGATAAATAATATATAGAAAATATTAGTTAAATTGCTTGGAATTGCCTGTCTTAACCATAAATGTAATGTACTTAACAGTTAAATCCCATAATGTTCCTTTGTGTTTGTGTAGATTTATGTGAGTAGTAGACAGCTTTTTACAGCAAACACTTTGCTATAGCAGTTAGGTGAAACAGACGAGATCTGTGACGTTTATATTCCAAATTGTTCAGACTAGAGTGCATAAAAATCACTAGGCAGATTTCATTAAAAATACAGGACTTCCCTGGTGGCGCAGTGGTTTAGAATCCTCCTGCCAATGAAGGGAACACTGGTTTGAGTCCTGGTCCGGGAAGATCCCACATGCCACGGAGTAATTAAGCCCACGCGCCATAACTACTGAGGCCCACGCGCCATAACTACTGAGGCCCGCGCACCTAGAGCCCGTGCTCCGCAACAAGAGAAACCACTGCAATGAGAAGTCTGCTCACTGCAACGAAGAGTAGGCCCTGCTTGCTGCAACTAGAAAGTCCATGTGCAGCAATGAAGACCCAACAAAACCTAAATTAATAAATAAAATGGATTCTAAAAAAAAAAAAAGCAAATGCCTAGGGCCTACCCCTAGAAGTATTGAATTAGCAGGGCTGTGTGGGGCCCAAGCATCTGCATTTTAAACTAGTACCCTCAAATAATTTTCATAATTGTTTTATTTTTGCATGCACTGCAAACATACTTGTAAGCACCAAACAGAGCAAGAAACAGAACTTTTCTGGCCACCCCAGAAGTTTTCCAGGAGCCCAGTCCTAATCACAACCTCCTTTCTCCCCTGACTATCCTGACTTCTATAGTAGTGGCTTCTTTACATTTCTCTATAGTTTTACCGCCTATGTGTGTATCTGTTCATATCATAATACAGTTTTGGTGTGTGCATGTGTGATCTATCTTTTAGGTATCTTTTACTCCCTACCTCTTTTCTTACTGGCAGTTTGTTTACATATGGAAAAACCTGGCTTATGTGAGCTATGGAGTTTTGTACATCTTGAAATCTGCTGATTGAACCTTGTGGCTCACTTGGACATGTTTCCCAGTTAATAGGTAGTTGGCTATAGAGGCTTGATCAGATTCAGGTTTTTGTTCTGTTTTGTTTTTCATTTCTAAGACTACAGGGAATGGTGTGTTCTTTCATCAAGAAGCACATAATATATGTTGCTCTTCTTTTTATGATGTTGGTTGCTGTTAATGCTCAGTGCGTAGCTCCATTAATTCATTAGGCGTTAAGGAAATGATGGTCTAGTTCTATCTATTCTTCTTCATTTATTAGCTGGAATACTTCTATTAAAAAAGTATTTGGTTCGGGCTTCCCTGGTGGCGCAGTGGTTGAGAGTCTGCCTGCCGATGCAGGGGACGTGGGTTCGTGCCCCGGTCCGGGAGGATCCCACATGCCGCGGAGTGGCTGGGCCCGTGAGCCGTGGCCGCTGAGCCTGCGTGTCCGGAGCCTG